GACAAGAGAAAAAAAAAGATGAGCACACATGTGGGCTCTGGAGAGGATTATGAGTTGCTCTTAAAACTTTGAGTTTCAGAATAGAAGGATTCGGTTTATAGCTATGTGTCTGTGGCCACCAACACCCCCCCCCCATGGAATTAATACATGGTCATCTATAATTAACAAACATGAGCCTGATAGAGTATGGATAGGGTCAGCTATAGTTAACATACTCAGTGATGTCTTAGTTCTACATACTTCCCCATTCATTTGTTTTGTTGTTGTTTTCTAAGTAGATGTACAAAAGAGTTTCAATTCCAGATTATGAATACAAGGACTCTTGATCTATGTCACCCCTTCTATCGTTCTCTCCCATCCTTCATTTATTTTATCCTCCTCATCCAGACCTTCAGAATGTTGTGGCAGAACCAAACTGTGCACCTCACATCATGCCCTCACTGCATTACTGTTTATAACTCTCCCTTTCCATTATCTTGGCTAATGTGCACTGTCGATAAAATTTAGTATAGTAGTATTGCATGATTTATGGAAAAGTATCTGTAAGAGTTCTTGAGCGTGGCATCTATATTTCTGGTTATAATATAAAGAGATATTTAGTTAATGCTAAATCATATATACATTTACTCAAAAAGTTTCTTAATTAGTTCACAGGTACAAAAATACAGATAATGAAGATGGGATAAAACTAAGCTGTGTTAGAAAGTAGATTTATTTTTTTATTGCTCATTAGCAATTATTGCAGTGACTTTAGGTAATAGAAGTTGTGATTGGAATTATTATCCTGCGTATTCCTTGACCTTAGTTCAGTGTCTCACATAGAAACAAATATTTTAGTGCAAAATATCTGTCTTTTGTAATTTTAATGGTTGTGGACTTGATGTTAACCATTTAATTCTGACACTTGAGATGAAGAAAAACGTAAGTGAAAAGTTCTAAAAACCAGGTTTCTTCTGGGAGGTATGGCCCTCCTACCCCTGCCAGTATTCTTTGCTTCACATGGTAAATTCCTAGTAAGAAAAGATGACCAAGCAATGGATGCTGGAGAGAGAGTAAATACTCATTTGGCTGGTAAAGACCGAGTGGATACTTATGTCTTCATTACCATATAAAATTAATTTGAAAAACTCACACTGTGACACATGTCTGTAAAAGATACTAGTGATCAGTTTATTCTGTAATTATAGATATTGATTGATCCCTGAGCCCTATACAATGTTTTCCAGTTACCTTTTGTGGTGACTGAGTAAGATGGAAATGCATTCAGCCTGCATTTTTAGGGTGTCATCCTGGACTACAAACATGTGGTTTTAAAATTGTATAATCATCACTGCACTCCATGTGAAATCATAGTCAGTAGGCATACCTGCGTACTCAGCTTTAGGTATTTCTCAGTAAATCCTGTATGTAGTTCACGAGTTTACCTTGTGAATAAAACACACAAATTCTGAGTTTAGAGGTATCTGTCTGTTCTTTATAGAAAAATTGATATTCTCCTAAATTTTAGATATTTCTCCAAATTTGGCTTCTTGTTTATTTGGCATCTAGCCACATACTTCCTAATAAATTTATGTTTAAATCTCTTTCTGTATCTTGTGTTCCATAAAGTTGATATTACATCTAAACATTGTATGTAAATATTGTTAAGTATTATATACTTAGGATAGGGACTCATGTTCTGTATTCACAGTGATAGGTCTCAAGAACTGTAGGTATGAATATAGTTTGCCCATTTGATTATTTTCTCCCTTCCCTTCCCTTCCCTTCCCTTCCCTTCCCTTCCCTTCCCTTCTCTTCCTCTCCCCTCCTGTCTCCTCCCCTCCTCTCCCCTCACCTCCTCTCTTTTCCCCTCCTCTCTTTTCCCCTTCCCTTCCCTCCTTCCTCTCTTTCTTCCTCCCTCCCTCTTTCCTTTTCTTTGTTTCTTCCTCCCTGCCTTCCTCCCTTCCTCCTTTTCTCCTCTTCTCCTCCTTTTCCTCCCCTCCTCTCCCCTGTCCTCTCTCATGTCAGTCCTGGAGCTTGAATTCATGGCCTAGGTACTATTGAGCCACCGTTCTGCTTCTAGATTTTTTGGTTGTTAATTTGACTTTCTGCCTGGGCTGACTTCAAACCTTGATCCTTAGATCTCAGCCTCCCCTGAGTAGCTAGGATTACATGCATGAGCTGCCAATGCCCAGCTGTTTGATCATTTTTGTAGATGTGAATCATATTCCCTTGGGAGGCTTTATTTTAAATCACAGGCTAGCATCACATGCTATTTTTAGAGGGTAAGAGAGGATGAGGGTTTAAGGAGAGGTAGAAATGTTCCCAGTGTAAACTCTTGTTAAATTTTAAGAATATGGCTTTGAGCTACCAGCACAACCATGTTCATTGCAGCATTCAACATAAAAAAGATATGGCTTCAACCCAGATGCCCCTCATAGATCAAGAAAATGTGGTATATACACACAATGGAATTCTACTTTTTTATTATACATTTGTAAAGAAATGGAATGAAGCTTTCTAGACATTCACACAGTGAGACCAAAGAAGGATATTCTTAGGAAAGGATCACAAAGACTCAATAGCTACATGCATATGATCAATCAAAATGATACTTATTGAAATGAGCTCCAAGAAACAGGAGGTATTTTTGTTATTTTGGTATTTTGTTTCCTCATTTGTCACTTTTTGACTTCTGTAGCTTTTATCTTGTATATGTTTATCTGTTTTAAGGAGGGAGCACAGAAATGGTGGGACAAAAGGTGAACAAATGTAGCAGTGATACTCACTAGACAATGTATTGAAAAAGAATACAACTGTGGGATGGGGCAGGAGGGAAAAACTAAGGTAAATTGAGGGAAGAGATGACACTGTTCAAAGAGAAATGTATTCATTATCTGACTTATGTAACTGTAACCCCTCTGTATTTTACCTTTACAATAACAATTTAAAAAAAAATAGGGCTTTGTGAGCTGGGTGCCTGTAGCTGATGGCTATAATCCTAGCTACTCGGGAGACTATGATTTGGAGGATTATGGTTTGAAGTCAGCCTAGTTAGAAAAGTTAGATAGACTCCATGTCCAAAGTAAGTACAAAACAGGATTGGAATCATAGCTCAAGTGGTTGAGCACAACCCTCATACACAGAAGGTCCTGAGTTCAAACCCCACTACTGCCAGAAGAAAATAGAATCAGTATGCAGGCAGCAAACAGAATGCTAGTGGTATTTAAAAAATACTAGTTAACATATTCTATGAACTGTTGTACATATTATTAGCCTGTAATATAATTGTATAAATAAGTGTAATTTCCTTTTTTTTTCAAATTCAGAAGAATTGAAAATAGCTGACAAGATTCTTTGTTGGTGGTGGTGGTGGTTGTGCAGTTTGAACTCAGGGCTTAGGTGCTATCTGAATGCTTTTGTTCAAGTCTAAAGCTTCACTACTCTGAGCTACAACTCTACTTCCTGTTTTCTGGTAGTTAGTTGGAGATAGGGTCTCAAGAATTTTTCTGTTCAGGCTGGCTTTGAACTGTGATTCTCAGATCTTATCCTCCTGAGTAGCTAGGATTATAGGCATGAGCCATCAGCACACAGCTAGCTGATAAGGTTCTTTCTTTTTTTTTTTTAATTGTCAAAGTAATGTACAGAGGGGTTACAGTTACATATGTAAGGTAGAGAGTACTTTCCCTCTGCCCCAGATCTCCCTCATCCAAGTTATAAAGTTCATTTCCAACAAGATGCTGACAAAATTCTTAAGTGCAGTGTTTTCTTTTTTTTCTTTTCTTTTTTTTTTTTTTTGTCAGTGGTGGAGCCTGAACTCTGGGCCTGGGCACTTCTTGAGCTCTTCAGCTCAAGGCTAGCACTCTACCACTTGAGCCACAGCACTACTTCCAGCTTTTTCTTCTTATATGGTGCTGAGGAATTGAACCCAGGGCCTCATGCATGCAAGGCAAGCACTCCACCACTGAGCCATCTTCCCAGCCCAAGTGCAGTGTTTTCTTAAAATCTCACATATTGACCAATAGATCACAAGAGAAAAATGATCCTGTAAATATTTGTTGACTGAACAATTGTGTGAATGTTTACATTATATATTCCCTGATATAGGAGGGATGATAGAAGCTAAGAATACTTAAAATAGTCTGCTTTTGATGTTAATTATATTACTATTATGCTATTTTAATTTGTATGTCAACAGGAGCAAATTGATACATACATGCATATACTGTAGATGAATAAATGTCTAAATGTTTATAACCTTCTTGATTCTTTGGTGGCCTTCTTTTCTGTCTTCTCCCCAGAGAACTTAGTATAGTTACTTGTGTGATGGTATATTGTACTGCTTCTAAGTTGTTTTCTTCTTATCTTTTTAACATCATGTGAGCATAAAAGACCTGATAATCTGTTTTCTTATCTAAAGTGTTTTCTTGCCACAAGTTGAATTTATGATCACTAACAAATATTAATAGACTAATTTGATGTGTTGTTTGAAAATGGTACTTTACTGAATTAATGTTTGCCTGAGTTCATTTGACCAAACCCACCTATTTATAAAGCACTGAATTTAGTATCACTAAGGTTCATTTTGCATGTTCATAAACATTTAAGTTTGTGATTTGGGGCCAGTAGGGTACTATTTAGAAGCAACTTATTATATGAAAAATGGAGACTCTTTTCTAACAGCATTTTTGGTGTGGTGATCTAGATTAGAATATAGTCATAATTCTTGGGGGGCTCTGCCAGAACTGGGGCCTAGGTGCTGTCCTTTAATGTTTTCACTCAAGGCTGGTGCTCTACCACTTGAGCCACAGCTACATTTCTGGCTTCTTTGTGGTTAACTGGAGATAAGCATCTCTCAGGTTTATGTTCCTTGGCTGACTTCAAAGTTTGGTCCTCCAATCTCAGCTTCCTGAGTAGCTAGCATTGCAGGCATGAGCTACCAGCACCTGCAAATTTTAAAGCTAGAATTAAAGAGTTCTTGGTTCACATTGTAATCCTAGATTTTCCTGCTCTTCCCCTAGCTTCCTGCAGATTTCACAAAGCTCCACCTCACTGACAGTCTCCACCCACAGGTGACCCACGTGTCTTCCAGCCACTCAGGATGTAGCATCACAAGTGACTCTGGAAGCAGCAGTCTTTCTGATATTTATCAGGTAAGAAGGTGTTTTCCTTGTGATTTGCCTTGTTTTCATCTCTGCCAAGGAGTTTTAGGTTTCCAGTGATAGAAACTTTTAAATATGTTTATGCATGCATATTATGTGTGCAAAATATCAATGTTTGTGTTTCACATGCATAGAGAATGTTGTATGTTTGTTGTAGTGTTTTATTATATTTGTCTCTGCTGTTAGCATTTTTCAGAATTGTATTCTATTTATTTATTTTGTGTACAGGTACTGACACTTGAACTCAGGTCCTGGGTCCTGCCCTTAGCTTTTTCACATAAGACTAGTGATCTACCACTTGAGCTACAGCTTTGTTTTTGGCTTATTGGTGATGAACAGGAAATAAGAGTCCATAGACTTTCCTACCCAGGCTGGCTTTGAATCAAGTTCAGGTTTCAGCTTATACGTAAATGCCTAGCACTTACGAGAATTTTAAATACAATGGTTCCATTGGAGATAACAAACCTGTTGACTTGAAATGTTTAATTTATTTGAATATAGATTGACTAGGAAACTTCGGAATTATGCTTTGATAGGTTTTTGTTTTGTTTTGTTTGGTCAGTTGTGGGGCTGGAATTCAGGGTCTGGGAACTGTCCCTGAGCCTCTTTGTGCCCAAGGCTAATGCTCTACCTCTTGAGCCACAGTGCCACTTCGAGTTTTCTGATGGTTAATTGGAGATAGGAGTCTGAACCATGATCCTCAGATCTCAGCTTCCTGAGTAGCTAGGATTACAGGTGCCTGGCAAAGTTTTTATTTTTATTTTTAATTAAAGTCCTTATTGTTTCAAAAGAATTATTGTGATCATGTTATTAAATTTTATATTTAAAATCATATATAGATTTGGCTATGTGTTTGAAATAAATTCATATGCTACTTAAATATATGGATAGATTAAAAACTAGTGGGCTAGAGATATGGCTCAAGTGGTAATGCACCTAATTAGCAAGCTTAAGGCTCCAAGTACTAGAGTTCCAACCTTAGTACTGCAAAAAGAAAAAAACAACTACAACAAAAAAGTAAACTTTTGGGATGCAGTAGTATTTTTAAAATAAATTTATTATAATTGTTAAAGGATCATTTGTTGGCTGAGAATATGTGAAATTAGGAAAAGTACCCAAAATATACACATACAAAAGTCATTTTGATGGCCTTCAAATACATACTATTGCTAGTGGATTTTAGATGGGTTTAAAACAGAAGAATATACTCACTAGTAGAGTTTTTCACTCCTTAGGAATTGCCACATTGAGATGACCATAGAAAATACCTTTGTCCAGTAGACATAGTGGTTTATGCGTCTAATCCTAGCTACTTAGGAAGCAGAGATGGGGAAGAATATGATTCCAGGCCAGGCCAGGCAATTAATAATCTTGACATGGAGATGTGAAGTTGTAAGTTGTCCACACAAGCCCCACCCAAAAAAACATGAGACCCTACCTAAAAAATAATGTAGCCTGGCACCAGTGACTCACATCTGTAATACAGACTACTCGAGGCTGAGATCTGAGGATCACAGTTTGAAGCCAGCCTGGGCAGGCAAGTTCAAGAGACTCTTAACCCAAAAAAGCCAGAAATGGAACACTGGCTCAGGTCTTTCTGAATGAAAGCTCAGGGACAGCACCCAGGCTCTGAATTCAATCCCCAGAATTGGCCAAAAATCAAACAAGAAAAGTGAAAGAGGCAGAGAGCTTACCTAGCAATTTTAAGATCCTGAGTTCAATCAAACTTGGGAGGAGGAGGAAGGGAGGGAATAAAAAAGGAAAGGAACATAATAGTTATTGAGGATATTTGAACATTCAGGCAATACTATGTTTCTTTATTACTTAAGTGATCAAAATACTATGACTAGGACATATTTGGGGTGTGTGTTGGTACTCAAGTGTCTTGAACTCAAGTCCTGGATGTTGTCTCTGAGCTTTGTTGCTCAAGGCTAACACTCTACTACTTGAACCACAGCTCTACTTCTGCTTTTTTTTGTTGTTATTATTTTGTTGCTTAACTGGAAGTAAGAGTCTCACAGACTTGCTTGCCCAGGCTGACTTCAAGCTACAGTCCTCTTATCTAAGCCTCCTGAGTAGCTAAGATTACTAGTATGAGCCACCAGCACCCAGCTCAACATATCTATTTTAAATTTAGTAGATCTTAGAAAATAAATTTTCTCTTTTAAGAGCTAGTTTAATATCTACATGTATACTTGGTAGAAAGCTTTACTGACTAGGAATTTAATTTTAATTTTATTTTTGTCAGTCATAGAGGATGAATTCAAGGCCTGAGATGTTGTCCCTGAGCCCTTTTAGCTTGAGGTTAGCTCTCTACCACTTCGAGCCACAGTCCCACTTCTGGTTTTCTGGTGGTTAATTGAAGATTAAGGCTCACAGACTTGCCTGCCCCGGCTGGTTTTAAACTGTGATCCTCAGATCTCAGTCTCCTGAATAGGTAGGATTGCAAGGCATGAGCAGCTGGAATTTTATGTTTTAAACAATACTGACTCTATTTTTTTGTATGTGTATATGCAGGTACCACGGCTTGAATCTGAGCTCTTGCTTGGCTTTTTCATGTGTTTTTCCTGCTGAAAGCTGGCACTTTACCACTTGAGCCATACCTCTAGTCTGGCTTTTTTGCTTGCAGGTTTTCTTTTTCCTCTTAGGTAGTCTGAGGTTCACAGATCTTAGCCTTCTGAGTAGCAGAAGTCCTTGGCCTCAAATATACTTTTAAAAATATTTTGTTAGTCAAAAATGTGGACATTTGTAAATTTCCTGGCTGATGGAGCGTTTTTCTTTTTTGCTTATATAAAATGATTGCAGATTTCTTCTTAGTGCTATAAAGTGTTAATTTGTAATTCTTTAGGAAATAATTTTAAATGTTAGTAAGGGCACAGAGTAAACAACACACACATACCACCTGTTTCTAGAAGAGAATGTTAACGAAAATATTGAAAAGTTAATTGGCGGGGGCTGGGAAGAGGGCTCAGTGATAGAGTGCTTGCCTTACATGCCTGAGGCCCTGGGTTCAATTCCTCAGCCCCACATAAGCAAAAAGAAAAAAAGCCAGAAGTGGTGCTGTGGCTCAAGTGGTAAAGCGCTAGCCTTGAGCTGAAGAGCTGAGGTACAGCACCCAGGCCCAGAGTTCAGGCCCCACAACCGGACCCCCCCAAAAAAATTAATTGGCGGTAAAAGTATCATGGATTTTTCTGCCTAGGCTTAGTATGGGCTGACATCCTCAAATCTCAACCTCCCAAGTAGCTAGTATTGTAGTCATGAACCACTGTGCCTAGCTTTTAATGGATTCTCTTCCTGTACCAGCTGTTTTTCTTATGGTGATGGAAGTAATTGGCTAGTTTGTATGGGTATGTGTTCACACATGGGAAAGTTTTTGTGGGTTTTTTTGCCACAATTAACTGAGAAAAAGAAATGCCTTACTCTTAGGTCTTTTGAGCCTTGAAAAATGAAGATCTTGCTTGATAAGAAAGGGTTAACTTAGACACAGATAGAAGTATGTGAAAGAATAAGAGCTTAGTGATGGAAAGCTAGTGCTTGTTGGTGATATAAGACATGCTACTTTCAACGATGATGGAGTGGTTAATTAGATCAACTGCTCACAAGTCGCTTGTGTAGACCAAAACCAGTTGTACAAAAACCGATCAGAGCCAGGCGCTGGTGGCTCACGCCTGTAATCCTAGCTACTCAGGAGGCTGAGATCTGAGGATCGTGGTTCAAAGCCAGCCCGGGCAGGAGAGACTGTGAGACTCCTATATCCAATAAACCACCAGAAAACCGGAAATGGCGCTGTAGCTCAAGTGGTAGAGCCCTCGCCTTGAGCTGAAGAGCTGAGGGACAGCGCCCAGGCCCAGAGTTCAAGCCCCACGACCGACAAAAGAAAAACGATCAGACCCAGGTGCTGATAACTCACACCTGTAAATCTAGCTACTCAAGAGGCTGAGATTTAGGATCACTGTTTGAATGCAGCCTTGGCAGAAAAGTCTGAGAGACTCTTATCTCCTGAAATGGAGCTGTGGCTCAAGTGATATTGCATTAACTTTGTGCATAAAAGCTTAGGGACAGTGCAAAGACCCTTAGTTGATGCCCAACATACAGGGACACACACACACATAACACACACATACCAAACAAACAAAACCCCAGATCAATAGAACAGTGAGTAAAATGAAACGCATATATAAATGGTACAGTATGTAGTACAGGAAACCTCACAGATCAATGAAAAAATTTAATAAATGGACATTGGGGCCAGCCTCTTATGGCTCATACCCATAATCCTACTCTACTAGCTACTGAGGAGGCTGAGATCTGAGGATCATGATTCGAAGTCAGACAGGGCAGGAAAGTCCTTGAGATTCTTATTTTCAGTTAACCACCAAAAAGCTATAGATCTTGGCTCAAGTGATACAGTGCTATCTTTAAGTAAAAAAAATGCTCAGGGATAGTTCCCAGTTCCTGAAGCTGCATGACCAGCACAAAAAATAAAAATAAACTTAAAAAATTGGGGTATAGGGGTGATTATTCTCACTTGTATCTTAACTAATATAAATTCTAGATAAACTAAAGACTTACCAAATTCTTAGTTTTGGTAAGTTTGGGACAGAGATTTAGTCTGAATATAGCTTATTTAAATTAACAAGAGAAACCACAATACAAAAATAAATGTTCAAAGGAAAAAGATTATATTTATTTGTATTTTTTATTGTTAATATCTAAGGATATTTTCATATTTTCCATGTCTGATTTTATGGAGCTGTTCTTTCCCTGTTGTCTCATCTAAGTTAGCATCAGCATTAGCATTCAGTGTAATTTTGTGTCTTAAATTTCTGTCAGGAGCTGGATTAGGTGCTATTTGGCTAAATAAGTACACTAGAAATTATGCCTAAAATGTATTTACACGGACAATACTCACTGAACACCCTAATCACGTAAATATGGAATGGCAAATGTATGCATATATTTAATGAGAGAAAAACTTTAGTGTTTGTGGGTTATTTTTTTTCTTTGTGAATGATTTTAAATTGCTTAATGATTGAACACCTTGAAATGAGTAGTGTCTATGTTGAGATGTGTGGTATCAGTGACTGAAGAGATATGTGTATGTATAACTTAAATATGATGAATAATGCAGTTGGCCATGTGATGAGTGGGAGGGACAAGTTTTGCTTGCAGACGTGTGTGAGGTCCCCTCTACTTTTGATAGAGTTATAGTTCAAAAGTGGCCATTAGAGTCATCCAACCAAGTCTACTATTTGGCTTGCATTTATCAAATAATCTTGGATTTGTGATTTATGTTTTCATGAAGACTGTCCAGCAGGGGAAGGCAGTTTGGTCTTCATGAGGTTAGTAAACTCAAACCAGTTCTTCTAAAAGAAGAACTGCCTCACAAATTTTTTCTATAAGCAAAGTAAAATGAATACAAATACATCTTTCTCCTTTTTTGTTCTGCTGTGCTTCAAATGCCATGTGATAGCTCAGATAAGAAATCCAAATTACTGAGATTTAAAAAAAATCCTGATGAAAGTTATAACAAGTAGAATCACTAATGTTGAAGCAATTCTTTTATACAGGGTCTACTTTGCAAAAATAGTTGCTAGAGGGCTGGGAAGTTGGCTTAGTGGTAGAGCGCTTGCCTTGCATGCATGAGGCCCTGGGTTCGATTCCTCAGCACCATATAAGCAAAAAGAAAAAAGCCGGAAGTGGCCTTGTGGCTCAAGTGGTAGCGTGCTAGCCTTGAGCTGAAAAGCTGAGGGACAGCACCCAGGCCCAGAGTTCAGGCCCCACGACCAGACCCCCCCCCAAAAAAAAAAACTTTAAAATAGTTGCTAGATGCTGCATCCAAGAAAAGTAGAACAATCACTTTGAAGTCATAACCACAATTATTCTTATTCCTTTGGAATACCAAAGATTGATTTCCTTAAAGGAATTTTTAAAGGTTGTGGATTTTATCTCTTTTAAGGCCACAGAGAGTGAGGCTGGTGACATGGACCTCAGTGGGCTTCCAGAAACAGCTGTGGACTCGGAGGATGATGACGACGAGGAAGACATTGAGAGGGCATCAGATCCTCTGATGAGCAGGGACATAGTAAGGGACTGCCTGGAGAAGGACCCCATCGACAGGACTGATGATGACATTGGTAAGTGGATATTAGAGAGGAGTCTTGGAGCAGGGAAACTGGAGAAGCCACTAGAGCTTTAGCAAGTCTGTTTATGAAAGCCCTTAGTATACATGATAATGTTGACAGCTCTTCCTTTGTATAAACTGTAATAGTTCTTTGAGGGGGGAAAAAGTTGAAGATCAGTACCTTCTGGAATGTACAAATAATGAGTGTGACATCCTATAAAACCCTTCCACAGAGCTTCCTTTTATATCTCCCAAAGTTGTATTAATTTTCTTGCGAGTACTGTTCCTTATTGAGTTTGTTGCCATCGAACAGATTCATTTGCCTTTTCATAAAAAAGTTTGTTTTCTCTTTTGTTGAATGAAGTGCTGATTATTAAAATATGATCAGCATATCTGTTTCTGTACTTTCTATCTGAGAAGATTGTCCGGAAAGCAGGAGCTATGTTTATTCCTACAAATGAATTTAGAACACTAGCTTACATGCTCATGTGCTTGTAAACAGTCTTTCCTAGGAGAACCCCACTTATTTGAACGCCACTTCATGTGGACCAAAGATAATCTTAATGCTTGTTGTATACAATCAAGTTCAGTCAAGTGAAATTGTTAACGTTTGATCGTTTTCTCCTACTAGTTCTGGTAGATTCTTTTTAATTTATTTATTTTTTTGGGGGGGGTGGTCTGGTTGTGGGGCCTGAACTCTAGACCTGGGCACTGCCCCTCAGCTCCTCAGCTCAAGGCTAGCACTATACCACTTGAGCCACAACGCCACTTTCGGCTTTTTTCTTTCTGCATATGTGGTGCTGAGGAATGGAACCCAGGGCCTCATGCATGCAAGGCAAGCGTTCTACCACTGAGCCACCTTCCCAACCCCTCTGGTAGATTCTTGGACATATACTTGTTGCAACTCGTTAAAGGGTGGGGTGTTACTCACTTTTGCTTTTTTATGCCTAACCTTGAAGGTATTCAACTATAAGAGTAGTTGTAACTTTTTGTTTGTTTGTTTGCTTGTTTTGCCAGTCCTGGGGCTGGAACTCATGGCCTGGGCACTGTCTCTGAGCTTCATTTGCTCAAGGCTAGGACTCTACCACTTGAGCCACAGCTCCACTTCCAGCTTTTTGTTTATGTGGTACTGAGGACTCGAACCCAGGGCTTCATGCATGCTAGGCAAGCACTCTACCACTAGGCCAAATTCCCAGCCCCAGTAGTTACATTTTGTTGAGGGCATGATAGGTTGAGGTAGAGGACTACTTTACTATCTTTCAAATAATTCCTTGCTGGGTGTCAGGATGGCCAAGTGGTCTAAAATGCCAGACTCAAAACTCTCAAATAATTCCTTGCTTCAAGGACAAACAAAAAACTCTACAGATTTAAAATGTGTTAATATTAAGCATTTTTAAATGTAATATAAACTGAAGCAAACCAAGATAAGCTAATTTTCAGAATTGGCTTCAGCTTCTGTTTTATCTAAGTTGCCATATTATATAGGAACAGTCTTCTTTTTTTTTCTTTTTTTCGGGGGGCCGGTCGTGGGGCCTGAACTCTGGGCCTGGGCACGTCCCTCAGCTCTTCAGCTCAAGGCTAGCCCTCTACCTCTTGAGCCACAATGACAATTCCGGTTTTCTGAGTGGTTTATTGGAGGTAAGAGTCTCATGGACTTTCCTGCCCGGGCTGGCTTTGAACCGTGATCCTCAGAACTCAGCCTCCTGAGTTGAGGTATTGACGAATATTTTTTAAAACCAGGAATGTCCTTTCCTGACAGAACAGGAAGTGTGGTGATAATTCCGTACCCTAATGGATAAGTATATAACTGTAACAACTTCTAAGAAATGGAAATGAAGGCCTTAGGTGGTGTGCAGTGCCCAATACCACCAAAAGGAATAAAGTAGAGATGTAAAAGAGAGGTCTATGGCTTTTCCTTTCCATGTGTCCTAAGGACTGTCCTAGTCCCCACACAAGCCCTGAATTCTTACCCAGTGCCTGTAATTCTACTTAACACCTGTTGGCACTTTCAGGGTTAAGCTATGAGTCTCTGAAAACCAAATTTTATACATTGGTATTTTCTTTAAGATTGGTAGTAGGAAATTCTTGTTTTCAGTCACTCCAATCCTCTATTGAAAAAAGCAATCGTATTAGAAGTTATCATATAACCAGTGAATTGGATGATTATCCTTGAGAGTTAAAAACTCTTAGATGTTTCTGGCTCAGCCTTTATGTAATCTTATAAGTTTTTCATGTGAGCCTAGAGAACCATGAACATTTACTGTTGTTAGATCCAGATCCTTTTATTCCTTATTCTTACCTAATGTACAGTTTTTTTCTATCTAATTGCATTTTATCGTAGTCACTATTCATATATTACAAATTGATTTCATACCATACTAATAATAGAATAGGAATCTGTAAAAGACATTTAAAAATTATTCTATCAAATATTACTAAAGATATTCTTTCTACCCTGTCTGATCATGTTTGTGGCTTTTATTTTTGCCTAAATATATACCGAAAGCATTTTTGACACATTATGAAGTTATAGTCTTTCATTTTCTTTAAACCCATGGATCTCTGAATGTGAAGGAAATTGATGGGAAGGAAGTAAAGAAGTAAAATATATGTTCTACAGGATAAGAGATGGACGCTCAAAGAAATATAGACTGGACGCAACTCACTGACAGAAGACTATGATTTGTTCATTTGTCTCTACATTTCCAATCATTAGTACAAGAGTGACTCCTACCCATCCCATAAGTAGTTAGGGGTGGGTCACCTCTTAGAGCAATGCACACAGTCCTTTACTACTGCCATGGGACTCAGTGTATATGTGGCCCAAAACAGACACAGCTGTTCATGCCACAGTTAAAAGTTTCGCTAAATAAAATCTTATCAGAAAAAGAAGAGAACACACCCAAATTAATACACTCAGAGACGAGAATGGAAACATCACCACGGAAACAAACAAGATTCAGAACATTATAAGGGAATACTTCTCAAAACTTTATGCTAATAAGTTTGAGAACTTGACAGAAATGGACCTTTTTCTAGCAAATATTGACATGCCAAAACTAAACCAAGATGAGTTAAAC